TTTTTCAGTAGTTGATCATTCGTTTTTTATAACTTGCTATTGCTTGTTAGTTAGTATGTGGTGTGAATAAAATCCATTACAACTTGTGTTGTACTTTGTCTCGGTGTGATTTAAAGTCGACATGTCTGGAAAATAAGTAAATATAGGGATAAACTTTATATTACAAAAATTACTCAAAATTTAACGCTCTGTCAGATGGACTGCATTTCCACGTTCCAGGGATCAAACAATTTTTTAATATCGCCACGCCATCTACACAGGAAGATTTGAACTAACAGCTCTAACTGCAATTTGAAGCTATTCGAGGGAGCTAAAAACCCCGGTTTCCGGAACTAAAAATAAATTTTTGCATTTCGGAGATATTGGCAGCGGGAGTGTCAAATGTATAATTTCTAATTTTTTTCCAGATGATTATTAATTATCTACGAGGTGTAGATATATTTTGCACATCTAGATTTCTGGCATCGAAGAGCATTAAACATAAGTTTTTATTATTTTCATTTATTTACATTAGCTCAACAACATGAAAATAAAGTTAAACTACAAGAATTAATAATAAAATATGTACATCTTTTTAAAAAAGCTTTTTTTTAAAATTCAGAAAAAAACACCTAACTTTAAGTATGTAACCTGTTACAAATTATTACTTTTTAGGAAAAATGTTGATTTTTTTGAAATGAAGCAGCGCACGGTGGGAAATATTGGACAAAATTCTCGCCACTCGCCAATTTTCATCGTCTCGTTGTGATTTTTTTTTAATAATCTCGTGGTAATCTGAATATTCATATTCCGGTGAGGTTATTTCGAAAAACCCTTTTTTTAATGCTTTGGGGCCTCAATGTTGAAGAAAATTTTTTTTAAATACTCGATATTCAGTTGTGGAAAATAATGTTTAAAAAGTATCCGCTATTAATAAAATTGTGATGTGATAAATCAAATCAGTGAGAAAAATCATAGAGTGAAAAAATTTGTCACAATTATTTTCTTTAATAAAATGTATAAGTGTATTTTGGTTGAGTGTTCATCATCGCAATCGCCAAAACGTTTAGTCAAAACTGAAAACATAACCTAAAGACCCTGAAATTTTGTTTAACTCGAATTTTTTGCTAGAAAAATTCCATAAAATTCATCTACATAGCAATAAAACGTTTGTAAAACATTATTGTGGCTTATTATTACTAACCATTTATTAAATTTGCAATGAAGCCTGATAGACTAACCTAACCTCAAATTCAGGAGTTAGGAGAATCAAATATTATCTAAAAAAAATAAAAAAAATTCAATAGATTTGATATACAGTCATTCTAAATGCACACATTCCTGAACCTTAACACTCCTAAGCCAAATACACCCGAACCCCGAGATCTTTGAAACCCTATACTCTCAAACCCAATACCCTCGTGCCTGCACTATATACCCTACTCTTTTGAACCCTACACTATAGTCCGTTTAGGCTATAGCCTCTGGGGCTTCAGCAAATAAAGTTAAAGAGTTTTTTAGTAGGCCTATAGCTTCAATATTCCTAAAGCCTAGACCATCAAACCCTTTACTTCCAAATCCTAGACTCTTATACCTATACTCCCAAACCAAAGACTCTTAAACCCTATACTCACAAACTCTAGACCCTCAAACCCTATGCTACCAAATACTAGATTCTTAAATCCTAGACCCTCAAACCGTATACAGTAAAATTACTGCTCTTAGTTATCTTTAAGAATGAAGCCCCTTTACCGCGTCAAGGTGCAGTCTTCAAAGAGGTTTTATTTCGTTTTTTTTTTTTTTTGGTTTTTGTTATAATTTTTTTTTGTTTTTGTGGAATTAGATAATGTTGGTTTTGAGATTAGGTTTTCCAGATTCAAATTCATGGTTTGGGTATAACATGTTACGTAGGGTTCTATTGAATCTACTTCGTACTTTTGGCATGTAAAAAAACATTTTTTCCAATGTAAATTTCGTTTAAGGAGTTTAGGTTAGAATTAATAATTTTGAGGTTAGGTTTTTGAAGAAAAAACATCAGATACATCATCAAGAGTCATAATAATCAATTTTATTAATAGCAGATAGTTTTTAAACATTTTTTTCTACAAGTATTTAAACATTTTTTCTTCGACACTGAGGTTGGGGCGCTCCCTAATCATTAAAAAAAAAAGAATTTTTCGAAAAGACCTCAACAGAATATGAAAATTCAGATTACCACGAGATTATTAAAAAAAAAATCACGACGAGTGGCGAGAATTTTGTCCAATATTTCCCACTGTGCAACGCAACGCTTCGAAATTGCTGCTGATTTACTCTGTCATCATCGATTAACGCGTGGTCGTAATATTATTGCTGGTGATGAAAAATGGTGTTGACCTTGAAACAGCGAAAAAAACGGTTAAACTCCAAAAAAGGAACAACTCCATGAACAAAACCAGAACTTCATCCTCGAAAGACAATTTTATACGTCTGGTGGGACAAACCGTCAACGCAGAATTCTATGTCCAACATCTACGGGGCTATTCGACGGCGATACGATGTTCTTTTGCAACATGACAATGCGCGACCACATACCGTCAATATCACCAAAACGGCCATTCGGAAGTTGAATTGGGAAGTTCTGCCGCACCCGCCTTACTCTCCCGATTTCGCGCCTTCTGGTTTTAACCTCTTCCCCTCTTTGTCAAACTCTGATGGGTTTCTTTTAACAATGAGTTAAGAGTTTGGTTAGATGAGTTTTTCGACTCAAAACCGGAGGATTTCCACAGAAGAGGCATCGAGAAACTTTTTGAACGTTGAGATGATGTCAAAAATAATGATGTATTCTTCATCACTGATTAGCCTATTGATGATAATTGTAGAGTTAAAAATAAAATATCTTAAATTTGCATACCGTACTCAGAAACCGAAGTGAATATGAACTAATTTTGAAGTGTTCTATCACTTCTCAGAGGTAAAGTCTGACGTGTCGGGACACTGTATATTATAAAATAGGAAGCATACTGACGCTTGACTATCTACTTACAGCGTTTCCTTTCCAAAAGCCTTTAGTAAACCACCAACAAGTAATGCAGGTATCATATTGTGTAAAAAGAAGTATACATAAAACTTGTATAAGTTATTTGCCACTGAACATGAAGGATACCAAAATAAATTTGTATATGGTGCGTCCCATATTGTCATTCGGCCATAATCCACTAATTCTTTGTAGGTCATGATTGTCTTCTCACCAGCAGCAGCGTTGTAGACTGGAATTTCATCTATGTCACTGAAATCATGTTAAAGGTACATTTTTAATTACCCTTGATCTTATTATTATTTAGTGTTGCAACACAATGTAAACGCAAAATAAAGAAAATGTAGGAAATCTAATCGCGGAATCGCATATTAAATCTAATCCTGTTAATTTTTGGTCTTTTTACATAACTTAAAAAATACCTCTATTATCCCTAACTCAATGAATTATCATAATAGGATCATTAATGGTCATTCATAATACATAGTATTGTAGATGCACTTGTTCAATTCTTTCAATCTGGGTTTATTCGTTCATCTATGTATGATGAATCTAAGCCGGATTTTACAAACAATAACATTAGTGTTAATAAGTACCTAATTATTTTACAAATGCGGAATTGTCAGATATGCATTTTGTCTTTGGTCGAAGTAATGGTATGCTGAGTTGTATCCAGGACGTAGGGTACCTCATCACACAATATTTGCTCGTCTTCATCAACGTTTGCGCGAAAATGGTACACTTAATAAACAAACGGTTGACTGTGGGCGCCCTCGAGAAGTACGAACTGTGCAACTAAGAAGTTTTTAAGAAAAACTTTGACACCCCTTATCTCGGAAAGCGAATCATTTGCGGACATACGTTTATAAGCAAACTGCCATTATTTTCTCATGTAGAATCACCCCCTGAAATTTGTCGCACTTATTTACTAACACCCTGTATATAGGGTGTCCCAGACCACCCGTTCACCCCTTCTAAAATCCAAAGTACATAGTTATATGAAAAATGGTTCAAATGAAAGTTACTAATCTCCAAGGGGCACATATTGTCGTGACCTTGTCTGTGGCCTTGAAGGTCATTTTCAAGGTCAGTTCAAGGTCAGCTTAGTTTTTTTAAATGGGAACCCTTATTTTCAACCCTGGATTCAGAAAGATGATGTATCATGTGTAGGGTCCATTTGACCCCGAAGGTCACGTGAAGGTAAATTTATTTTTACTGAATCCTTGCACCCAAATAATCTCGCAAAGTTAAGGTTTAGCGAAATATGTGTCAGATAAACGTTGCATAAAAAATCGAAGTTGACCTTGAAAATACCTTGAAAATTGTTTCCAATGTCAAAGTCAAGGTTATCGAAACATGCCATTTAAAAATTTTGCAATTCTTCAGGGTTAGGATTTGTTTCTAGGAGTTATAATAACGACGAATGATTTCTGAAGGATTTCCTTTTTTTTTTCGAGAAAATGTTTAAAATTAATGTTAAAGAAACTTACTTAGATAATGCCTTTTCGTAGGTAATCAGAATTAACAACTTTGTTAAAATGTCCACTGGAATCCAATCAAAAGTGGATTTATCTTCTATATAACATATTTGTAATACACCTAGAAATATTATATTAAATAGGTGTTTTACTATTTTTTTTTAATATGCTTTATTAATACCTTTTTGTTTTTATTTAAAACCGAATATCTGAAAATATTAATTACTACAAACTGGAAACAATTTCATAAAAAAGTATGATAAATTTGCTCCGGCATTGCTTCGTGAAATTATTAAATAATATTTACGAGTACGTAAAATGTTTTTTTCTTTAGAAGGGGTTAGTTAATGAAATCCATACAAATAAAACAATTCCGTTTGATTAAAGCTTGATATTATTCGTAGTAGCAACGTTAAATATAATTTTCTATTCACCTTTTCCTCCACCACAGAGCAGACCCATTGGGCCATTGAAGTTTTCAACCCAGCCACGGATTGGTTCGTCTAAAGACGCAACAACTGCAATTTAAACATCAGTAGTAAAAGTTTCAAGCAACATAACTTTTGTAGTGTTGATATATAATGTACCTACGTTCCGAAACAAACAGGACTTTTCAAAAATAGATATTTCTAATAAGGTTATCTATTGGAAATTACATGCGTCAAAATTTCATGACATTTGGATGAATAGAAGTAGAGCTATTGCGTCTGAAGTGATGTTTGTGTAATCGGCATCGGTACAAAATGAGCATCGAACAAAGAGCTAATATTAAGTTTTGTTTTAAACTCGGTAAAGCTGATTGATGAACCAAGATTATGGTAATGAATGTTTATCCCGTCGCAGAGTTTATGAGTGGTATACCGGTTTAGAAACGGCCGTGAGGATATAAATGATGAGCAACTTATTGGCCAACCGAAATCCGTGTCCACCGCAGATTTCATCAAAAATTAGCACAAATTCATCAGAGATCAGTCAAAATCTTCATTGAAATTCATGGAATTAGAATTGAGCATCTCTAAAACATCAATTTATCCTATTTTGGATGAACATTTGAACTACCGAAAAGAGCACGGTTTCTTCCGCGCAAGTTAATTGACGACCGAAAATTGCTCAGAATTCAACACTCAAAGGACATCACCAAGGGTACCAAAAAGGAGAAAAATTTTTCTTTACAACATTGTGACTGGTGTTGAATTTCGGTGTTTTGAATATGATCCAGAAACCAAGCGCCAAAATGTCGAATGGAAGGCGTCAAGGCTCAAAAAAATCTCATTTGGAGGGAGCATTGTCCACAAAGAGTTCGTTCCACCAGGCCAAACCGTTAATGCACAATTCTATCTTGACGTTTTGAAGCGTTTGGTGCATCGTATTCGTCTTATTCGGACAGAATATCGCACAGAAGGAAGTTGGTGTTTGTTACACGAAAAGCCTCATTTCAACGATCGACTAAAAATCGAATTTTAACTGTCAACCATTTGACGTGTTCGCATGATTTGCCGATGAAAGGAAGCGTTTTGTGGACGTAGAGGCCATCCAAAAGGCTTGTACTGACATCCTAAAAGACATCCTAACCGATCTAAAACACTCATTCGACATGCTTTTAGAGGAGCGTGCAAATCGTTGTATTTAGTCGAAGTTTTGATAAAAACCTTTTTGTTGTTCTTGTTTTTAAAAAATCCTGTTTACTTTGGTACGTACATACCTTGTATACAGAATAGTAACAATAGTGTACCGTAATTTTAGAGTAGATATGTTTTCCTACACGTAGATAAAAAGTTACATTTTTCATGATTTTCAATTTTATAATTCAAAAAGCCACTAACATTTTGAGACACAAAAATTTGAAAAAAGGGCGAGCAGTGAATGATGCTGCTAACAACTGGTTGATTTACTGCAACTGATTTTATTTAACAAATATTTTGCATCTTGATTTTCCTCAGAAAGACAAATATTTGATAGAAAAATAATATTTATGTTTACTGTTTTAAAATGTGATGATTAATGAAAATACAAGAGATAAATATCTATAAATTTTATGATTTTTAGCAAAAGTAAATTTTATCTTTCAGTTTTCTGGATTTACTTACCAATTGAAGGCCTTACAATTGTTGCAAGTAGTTTGCCTTTGCACAAATCATTAACAACATGTTCAGATAAAGATTTTGCAAATGTGTAAGTATTTGGTAAAGGATAAATATACTTCGATGACAGAATACTTAAAGTGTGTTGATCAACTTGTTCCGCCAATGTTATAGTACTTTTCCAATCGGCATGTGCTGGATATATTTTTTCCTCTACTTCGAATCTATCGCAATTACAATATGAAGTAGATATATGCACAAACGTTATTAACTTCTTTGCTTGCAAAGCTATGTCTACTACTTCTTTAGTAGCTCTTGTATTTAGTAGTACTGCATCTCTCAGGTGATCATCGAATCTTACTGAAGCGGCTCCATGGTAGATGATGTCCACGTTTTCAATAAGAGTTTGGGTGTCTTCTTCGGTTAAACCTAAAAATTTATATATTTCTACATTTAACGAAGATGAAAATCTGTCTTTTTTTTTAAGTAGAGAATGAAATATGTATTATCTTAGAAAACAGTATTTTTTTTTTCTTACTAAAATTAGTCAAAATTTGTTATATTTATTTAAAATCTGGTTATACACTGAACTAAATGTATATCAAAAAGAGTTTGTACCAATTGTAATAAAACAATAAAACTGTATTTATGATAAGTTTGCAATAACGTCACATTAATAATTAAGTGCAGCTGATGTAAAAATCCTAAATTCCTGTTTTCCATCGCGTTAGCTCTAGTCAAATTAAGAAATTTTATTATTTTAAGTTTACCATACTTTGCCACGTTGACAAGGCACTAAATTAATTGATCATCAGTTGACAGACATTTCACGTTTTGGTTACTTTCGATAGCAGTACCGCGAAATTTTTGTGTATTGGGAGCATGTAAAAAGGTCTTTTCAGAATTAATAAATTAAGGCACTCAATTGCCGAAATTTTCCACGACCATTTTGTATAATTGCTGCCTAACTTCGTCGATATAGCGCTCAGTTTCCTCCTTCAAGACATGAGTGGACATGGACTTGTTGGCATAAACCTTGGACTTCAAAAACCTCAATGTAGAAAGTCCAACATCGTTAAACCGCATGGTTAGGGTGACCAGTTCTGATCACCAAAATAGGAATTTAGTCGACCAGGAAATAATAATAATATTCTTTATTCATATATTGCATAAAAAAGAGACACATTTACTTAATACAAACAGAAAATTTATGAAAGCGCGAAGTTCAGCTGTGTCGACCAGTGGGCAACACACTGTTCTTCCACTTAACCCATGCTAGAAGCGCCACGGCATTTAAGTCACACTTTAAACATTTTGAACACTAAATACATACACATATATAGTAAAAAGAAAAGTAATAAGATATCAGACAAAATAGATATGCAAGCGAAACAATTACATGAGTGTAATTAGGTACTAGTTATTGATAATTAAAAAGAAAGGCTTTATATATTTTTTTGAAACATCTGACAGACAGCGATTTGAGATGCAATTACCTTTAAATCTGGTGTTTAAATTATGAACGTCAGTTCGGAATCTGAAATTATTCTACAAATATTGGGGGGATTTATTTAAAATGATAGTCATAAAGACAGTAGCACTGTGATGTAGACGCTTGTTTTTTTCATATCCAACCATTTTGTATTCATTATCTTGTGTCTTACTCGATTTCTCTTTCTAATACCATATATAAATCTAAGGCGGTCATTTTGAATTTTCTGAATTTGTTGAGATGTCGCTTGAGCTAAACATGGATCATAAACAGTATAACCGTAATAAAACACAGATAAAACCAAAGACTGGCAAAGTAAAATTATTAGTTTTTCACTTAAGATTTGTCTAGATTTGTATATTTTTAAATTAAAGGATTGATTTTTTTACACAGTTTGATATATGTTTATTGAATCCAAGGTCGCTATCAATAGTAAGACCCAANATAAAACACAGATAAAACCAAAGACTGGCAAAGTAAAATTATTAGTTTTTCACTTAAGATTTGTCTAGATTTGTATATTTTTAAATTAAAGGATTGATTTTTTTACACAGTTTGATATATGTTTATTGAATCCAAGGTCGCTATCAATAGTAAGACCCAAAACTTTAACTTCATTTCTAACTTCTAACTGAACATTATCAACAGTTATATTAACCTCGTGGGCATATTTCACCCGACTAGCAAAAAGCAAACTAACACATTTTGTGGGGTTTAAAAGCAAAGAGGGAAATTCGACGAAGTGTTTCGGGTTCACTATTAATTATAATACAGCAATTTTGAATATCATTAGGATGAAACAAATAGAATAGTTGAGTATCATCTGCATACATTTGAATTTTACAGTGCTTTAGAAAATTCTTTAGAAAATGCTTTAAAAAAACACTCTCTTGTTAAAACCACATGATGTCTACATCCAGATCCTGCAATTTAGAGNATTTTGAATATCATTAGGATGAAACAAATAGAATAGTTGAGTATCATCTGCATACATTTGAATTTTACAGTGCTTTAGAAAATTCTTTAGAAAATGCTTTAAAAAAACACTCTCTTGTTAAAACCACATGATGTCTACATCCAGATCCTGCAATTTAGAGAAAGCTGGATTACCATGTCGCGATAGCGAGAACCATTAACTGTTATTGCCTGACCAGTATGTATTGCCGCATGTATGAAGAAGAATTGTCCGACGATGCCCACAGTCCAAAATCCACACTAAACAGTAACACGCGGATGCGTTTGTTTCGCAACCATCACTCGTGGATTATCGGAATCCCAAATACAACAATTTTGTTGTTTAACAAAGCTATCAAGGTGAAAATGAGCCTCATCGCTAAAGATGAGTTTTTTCGAAAAATCAGCATCCACTTGTTTTATAATCCATTCAACGAACTTTCTTCCCTCTGCGTGATCTGTAGACCTCAATTCTTTGTAAGCATGGCGATGCAAATTTTTCGTGAGAATACACCATAGAGAGCTTCTGCAGATAAATTCCAATTGGTCCAATTCTTGACCACGGTGCCAAATTGATATTCCCGGAATCTCAGCAACATTCTCACGAACTGCTTCCATGTCTTGTGTTGAACGCCTTGTCCTGTTGAAGGACGGCTGGAGTGTTTAAGATCACTGATTGACCCAGTCTCCCTGAATTTTTCAATTAATCTCTTCCAAGTTGATGAAGCTAATCACTATTCCCATAGTATTTTGTAAGAAAATTGCGAATTGTTGCTATCAAACATTCATTATTTTTAAAATATTATTCAACAATGAAAATGGATATGAAAAGCGTGACGTAACAGAAATGTGTTTTACATAGATTTATGTGCATTCAAAATCATTGGCTCACATTTTTCATATGAGCTCAGATAGGTGACACCATATGACTTTATAATAATGTCTTCGCCTAGAATTGTACATACCAAGTTTGGGTTTAGCTAGATCTCCACATATGGGTACTAATTTCTTAATAACTTCGGGGTTAATATTCTTTAAAGTATCGAACAACTAGAAAATAAAAAACATAGAGCATTACCAACAAATTCAGTGAGGATTATTCTAAAAATGAACTAATTATGTGATTGATGCATACAAATCTAGGTATACCGGGGGTGTGCTTTTTCTACAATAAACAGATGGGGGGAAATAATCGTATTTTTCAAACCATCTACATAGGTGAAATTTATGTACCAAATGCTTATAAGAGTGATTGACAAAGGGTGACCAAAAATGAAACCTCGCATTCTTTGGTGAATTTTAAGCGGAGTCTTTCTTATAAAATTTTTAACTAGGACGTTTTGTTAAAAAGATACAGGGTGTTAAACTTAAAAAAATATTTTTTAATTTTTTTAAATAATTTAAAAACTAGTAAGTGAAATAATTGAAATTGGGCACATGTATATATGTAAACATTGTACAAAATTTGAGGCCTTTTTCTACAATTTAGATGCTCCAGAGGCGGAAATACAGGGTATCGGTGATATATTTTTCTAAATGAAGTAGTACGTCACTGCTTTACGGTAACAATCATGATATTTTCGGATTCGTCTTTCAATTTTCTACAAATTACTACTCTTTTATGTTTTTCGCTTAATGAACGAATTGAATACACTTACATGACATGACAAAAATTATAACAATATTAGTCATCATTTTATTGATCTAATTTGAGTAAATACTCAAAAATACTTCCATTTCTATGAATATAGGCGTGATATCTTTTTAGTAACGAAAATGTAATTTGTTCGAAATTTATTGTTGCTTGAATCTGATGAAAAGCATTTCTTTCTTCTAACTGCTCAGGTGTATTAATTTGTTCACTGTATACCAGCCGTTTAACAGCACCCCATAAAAAGAAATAATAGAGTGGGTTGAGATCCGCCGTTTTTTGCTCGTTTTTAGTTTTACTCGAAAATCAGGCTTTTTTCAAAAAACATAAGAGAGTATTACTATTTGTGCTTCACGAAGTATAGTCACGTTTGTGGATTGCTGTCTAATTTCGTGAAAATCTGTGTGAAAATCAGTGCGGATTTACGTTAAAGTGATCTTTCCTGCTGCAGTTTATAATGGGGAAGAAAGGTGATGGATCTGAGGAAGAAAATCCCAATTTTGAAGCATTACGTGAGTGTCTTAAGGAACACATTAGCTCCTTACTTATCTCTTTCACAAGTAAGCTTAAGAAAGAGGTTTCGAGTCTGGGGACACAGGTCCAACATTTATCTGGAGCAATTTTGAGGCAAAATTCTGAAATCGATAATTGGAAAGCTGTAATTCGTCAGTTGAACGATTCTAATTGAATTGTAAGTGCGGTGTTAAGGTGCAAAAACCTACTGGTATTGCTATTAAAAAAGTGGGCGATAAGATAGCGCACGATATGCCTGTTCTGTTGGGTGCGTCTAATCAGCGAGTCATACCCATGCGTGTAACTAGACAAAGAGCTGCACAGGGAGACTCTTCATCCAGGAGGCTTCAGCGGGTGCCGGTACTGCCGGTACGGCCCAATCTGCTAAAGTTATGATAGGTACTGGAACCTCGACTTCTCTGAGAGCTGTCGAACGTCGGCGTTGGATCCATATCAATCGTTTAGAACCTGGCACTGTTGTCGATGCGCTTACTTCTTTTATCAGAGATGAACTCAATGTCGTGGATGTAAAGGTTCAAACTTTAACTTCAAATAATGACTACTGCTCTTTTAAAGTTGGTGTTCGCCAGTCGCTATTTGACTCTCTGTTGGACTACACAAAATGGCCGCAGAAGGTTGTGCTGGGTGAGTGGGAATATACACGACGAGGCCGCTCTTCTTTTCGAAACCGAGCGCTACAGATGCAACCAACGTGAGGAAGTTTAGAGTATGTTATACCAACATGCAGTCTATTGTTAATAAATTTGCTAGTGCTTCACATTTCTTCAGGGATAGTGATAACTGTATTATGGCATTGACTGAAACGTGGCTAAATAGTACTTTACCTGATTCCCTGTTTCATTTGCCGGGTTATTGCTTAGTTCGTAAGGACTGTCCTACTTTGGGGGGCGGTGTTGCTCTCTATATACGATAAGATATTAAATTCTCTGCTATTCAATTAAATGAGTTTCCATTTGAGGCTTTTGTTCGATTGTTTCCCCTATTCCTAAGAAATCGCAAGATTTACGACCTATTAGTTTGTTGTCAGTTCCCTTTAAAATTGCGGAACGGGTTATTTATAATCAGCTCATCACTCACTTTCATTCTAATAATGTTTTACCTTCTAACCAATCAGGATTTCGTAAAAATTTTAGTACAGGAACGGTACTTGCGGCTGTGGTTGATGATGCTTTACGAGTTATCGACTCTTCTAGGGTTTTAAGACTCACGCTTTTAGATATGTCGAAAGCATTTGATTCGATAGATTTTAGCTGTCTATTAGATGGCATATTCTCGAAAATAACACGCCAACGACCAAACAATTTTTTAGGTGTATTACCTTATTCTTATAGTTTTGAGTGTTCTGATTCCAAAAATAACATAAAAACGCCATATCGCCCATTCGTTCACCTTGTAACATATGGAAAAACGCTATCAAGGATAATGGAACATCAATATGATGAGAGATTACCGTTGGTCACTTCACCGAGAGAGTCAGCAAACAGCGCATAAGATAAAAAGTCACATCAGGAGCTTTAAAAAAAGGAAAATAAAATATAATAAACCAATGAACACATACATTCTTTTTAGAATCTAGTATTAAGAATATAAAATATACTTCTATGTTCAAATAAAGTTTTGTGTGCATGTTAAAAATTGATTACCTACTTTTAATTTTTATTCCATATTTATAATACTTTGTCATATCTAACTAGATTGAATTGTGACTAAACTTACAAGGTTCAATTGACTCAAGAGCTGAAGCCTACTGACCATTTCAAGCGTCGTCAATACGTCGAATGGCTGGTTGAACAGACAGAAGTGAATGGTGACTTTACAAAGAAAATCATCTTCAGCGACGAGACACACTTTCACCTCAGTGGATTCGTTAACAAGCAGAATTGCCGCATTTGGGCAAATGAGAATCCACGAGTGATTGTTGAAAAGCCGATGCATCCACAAAGAGTGACTGTTTGGTGCGGTTTATGGGCTGGCGGCGTCATCGGGCTGTACTTCTTCGAAAATGAGGTCGGCCAAGCAGTTACCGTGACTGGTGTTCGCTATCGCGAGATGATAACGGACTTCTTGTGGCCAGAAATTGAGGATATGGACCTGGACACTTGCCACACAGCCAACGAAACAATGGCTCTTTTGCGTGAGAAATTCAATGGCTGTGTTATCTCACGTCGTGGCGATGTTAATTGGCCGCCAGATCATGTGATTTGACACCGTTGGACTTCTTTCTTTGGGGATATTTAAAAGAAAAAGTGTACGTCAATAAGCCAAGAACAATTCAAGAGCTAAAGGATGAGACAATTCGGCACATTAACGACATTGAACCTCAATTATGTCTCAGAGTCATTGAAAATATGGACTATCAGATAGAGGTATGCCACCGAAGCCGTAGCGAGCATTTAACCGATATTTTGTTTCACACATAATTGTCATAGATCCTTCTATCATAATAAAAAATATTAAGATAATTCTCTGAAAATTTTTGTTTTATTTACAATTAACATCGTGCGTTTTGGTTGGACCACCCTTTATATAGACCAGCTTCTATCATATTACGATCCTTAAGCATATTTGCAAACAATTAATTTTTTGGGGATTTGGGTGGCAGGATGTGTTGAGGAATTATAAAATTATAGTACAGAATGTTTTTTATTATCTATACATGCAGACATAGTAAATTACAAGTCATTAAAATAAACTAAATACGAATTTATCATATTGTTAACAACTGTTATTATTTCAATTTTTGATATCAAGTACCACAACAGTATACCAAAAACGGTGACGTGAAGAACACTGTCCAGAATCCAAAATCTGAAATAAACAAAAATAATACATACTCGTAATGTTCGTTTCTAGTGCCACTGGAATTACAAAGAGCTGCAGATATTTGAACTGAAAAGAAATCTATTTTTTGACATAGTGATTATTTTCCCTAGTTTATAAAAGAAAATTCTCTCCAACATTAGAAAATTTCTTACTCGCGATATTGGCCTAGAAGTGGATGTATCTAACAATGGCGTGTACTACGGGAACAATTATTACACCCCTATCATGTTCAAAGGTTTCAGGCATTAAAAAAACAATGATTTTCAGCCCCGTGTGGAATTTTACCATTGGTTTCTACCTTAAATAGCACAAGATCCGGATTTTACAAGCAGGGTACTTTTTACGGATGAATGTTGTTTTACTAGAGGTGACATACTAAATTTTCACAACATTCACTATTGCTGTGATGCAAATCTTTACGTACAGAGATCTCGGTTCCAGCAACGGTTTCCAGTGAATCTGTGGCGTTGTATTTTTGGTGACAGATTACTCGGTCCGATAGTGTTGCCTGCACGTTTGTGCTGCTTATTTATAGTTTTTAACAAACGCCTTACCGGATTTGTTGGAAGACGTCCCTTTATAAATCAGTACCCAAATGCTCTTCATGCATGACGGTGCCCCTCCACCTGTTTCTGGTGCAGTTTGTGATTTTTTTACATAGGGACCAACTTTCCGGAAAGGTGGATAGGACGAAATGGCCCTGTACGTTGTCCAGCACGAAGTCCGGATATGAACCCTCTGGACTTTTTTGCTTAGGGATGTATAAAACAAAATGTGTACCGAACGCCTATTGTCGATGTATCAGTTCAACAGTGTATTTTTGCTGTAGCAAATAAATTTTGATAAATGCCGGGAGTATTTGCACGTAAATTTTTATCGTCGTTTAGAAGCATGTTTATTAGCAAATGTAGAAATGTAAATAGATGATGAATAAATTACTTTTGCCGCAATTTATTTTCCAATGATTAGGAACAGTAGGAAAAAAATAAAACACTTCTATACTGAATTAAAATATCTAATACCTAAGCAGTATAATATCAGCAATTTGCGGCAATAGAAACACTGCTTAAGATATTAACTGAAAAGTTATATATATTTTTAACTTACATCATGGTGGTTCTTATTCCTTTTTCTCTATTGTATTCTTCATTAAACAGTAACTTTGAGGAAGATATCTTTGCTTGGCGACATAATGCATATCTACCATCTGAATTCAATTCAAAATAGTGTCGAAAAGAAAACGTTTGCGTTCCATCCTCATCTACATGTTTCTGTAAAGCTTTCACTTTTGCATTTCTAAATTTCCATGAATTTCTCATAAAATGCGATAATGCCATATTAACCAAAAACAATTTCCGCTGAATTTTAAGAATCCTAAAAATTAAATATGAATCATGCACTAGATTGGAGTGGTCTAGCCTTCTTTAATTTCTTTTAAAAAAAAGAAAGGAAATATACAGGGTCCCTTAAATGACACGACACAAAAGTAGAATGTTCTAAGGCAAACATTATCTCTATTCCAAGTTACTTCATTTTGTCGCTTGATGGCGATACGCGATACATTTTAAGTTCTATCTAAATTCTTAAATCCGATTCTAATTAAAATTCATGTGTAAATACTGGTGTACAGATGCCACTTTTTGTCATAGTAACCGAAGCAATTACATTTTCTACGAAATGGGAAATATAATTCAGCATTTATTTTTCTCATAAAGACAAGGGCTTATTA